TTGATTGTATTAACTTGATTCTTTAGATATTGAAAATTAAATAAATAACATTATGTTAATTTAAGCGTACAGAAACGTTGCTGTTGTTCCAGCAAAAATCTTATTTTCACTTTACCGAGTGCCTAGTAGGTAATTTGCAGATTACCTAGATAATCTGAACATTACCTAGGTAATTTGAGAAATGGAATAATTTTCGCAGCTTTAACGGATCACTCTAGTTAATCTGCAGATTAGCTAGGTAATGTGCACATTAACGGATTTCGAGCTTTAGCGGTAACATATATACAAATTTGCAGAAACAATAATGGTGTACTACCACAGTTCACTCTTGTGTTACAATGGAACAAAGACAACTGAATACACTGAAAAGCGACAATATTACACTAGTTCACAGTACAATCAGTGTTGCTGAATCGTTGTCTCGCTGCACCAGAAATGATAACAACACGCAACTCACGAAACCTATGACACAAAGCGTGCCATTTTCAAACTCTCACAAATTATTTTCAATATTTTGCATTAAAATCTCGCGACCCCAAGATTTCGCTAGATGACCCCAAATGGGGTCGCGACCCATAGTTTAAGAAGCCCTGGTGTAGAGCACTGGTCACAAGTTCCAGATAGTATAACGTTAATTTCACCCCAGTGCTGGAAGTAGAGCAGTTCCTATATTTATTTAAACTTTATATAAAGTTTTTATTTCACTTATTATATCAGTTTATACACATATTTGCAACTTATTAAATTATTTACTGTATAGTGGTTCTATATTTAAATGTATAAAGTTTTAATAATAATTAATATAAAAATTTTATACATTTAAATAAGATTTTATAATCTTAAGAATATAACTCACCTGAAACACAGTTAAAAGCGACTGATAAAAATTATCAAAATTGTGTCTAGGTTTATCCCATTCTTCACTATTAAATCTTCCTCCAAATACTTGCATACCCAATAAGGCAAAAATCACAATGAATAAAAACAGCAATACTAAAAGACTTGCAATTGAGCGTACAGAGTTAATTAATGAAGCCACAAGGTTACATAAAGAACCCCAGTATCTAAAAAATAATAATTCTTGTTAATTTATTAAATAAAAAAATTACTAAGATAATTTAAAACATAAATTCATACAAAAATATTAAAAACTATAAGTAAATTAATAAAAATAAATTTCAGAAAAATTTAGTTAGATACTATACTAAAATCTATACTATAGATATACTAAATCATAAGTTAGATACTATTTTTTACTTCATATAAATTCAAAATAAGAAAAATCAAATTATTAACTAAATTAGGAAAATAAAATATTAACTTATATTTGATAATGATAATCAATTTAATTAAAAATATGTATAAAATTTGAAAAAAGTATTTTAAATCAAGAATATAAATTTAATATAATTAAGTAAATAAAACAGATAATTCTCATATTTGTGCTTTTAAAATGTATTATTGTTTTGTTTATTTTATTAATCAGTAAATTAACAAACAATCTAAAATAAATATTCACAGCAAAAAACCATTTAAGATATATTTAATAGAAGTGGCAGTAAACATTTATCAAAATGAAGTATGTTCTAAAAACATAATTTATAAAGGTAAATCTGCATTTTCAAACAAAAATACATAGTGTTATTAATAATTTTTTCAATATTTTAATTGTAAAACACAATTATATATTCTTCCATTTAATGTAAGTATTTTAATTACTAAAAACATCAAAACTAATTAGAATACTGAAATCTTTAACCAAGAAACTACACAGATTTTTAAAAACATTTTTTAATAGTTAATCTTTTGCAAAGGTATGTGTCTACTGCACTTGCCAAGTTTGTGAGTTAATCTTTTGCAAAATATGTTACACTTGATATGCTTGTTGATTGTGAGGGGCAAAAAAAAAACCAGTTATGCTCGTATAACTGGTCGTGTGACAAAAAGTAAAGATTATATAGACTTGACTAAGGCCAAGAACGCATATGCATAAAATTGTGTGGCAGAAAACTGAATCAGAAATCAGCTTTTGGTTCAGTTTCTGTTTTATGCTTTTATGCCAGAACACACATAAATAAAAATTCTGGCCTAATAGGAAACACCACTGCCACTAACAGTGCTACATTTTATTCATTTTTTTTCTTTCCTAAATCTATCCCTTTGTATAGTACCTTCCATTTTTTCTCCAATGTCTCTGCTATAATTTATAAAATTTAAATTAATAGACTTGTATTCTGAATTGAAATAACATGTGGTCTAAATACTATATATCGATTCTACTAGATCTACCTGTTATTTAATTTAGCATCTATGGCCATCCATAAACTTTGTTTAAATACAGTGTCATTATACATGACACTTTTTTTGTCATAAAGACAATGATGTGGTTGAACAGATTCAATAAAGTCTTCTAGTTCATTTATTTTTCGTTTCTTGGAGACCATCACAATCATAGGGATAACTGGCATTGCCACTATTATTAGAATAAAAACCACATGTTTACACTTTGACCTCATAAAAAAAGACTTCTCTTTATTAAAGGAATTTTGGCATAAAACTTTTATGCCAAAAGTAGAGACATGCTCTACTCTTTTTTTCAGTTATTTTTCAGCCCAAATTTCAGAAAACTTTTTGTTTTCTGTTTTATGCTAGATTTTATGCCAAACATGTGTGTTCCTGACCTAACAGGTCAGCACTAGAAAAGGGAGAGAGTAAAATGAGGTCACCATGATTAATGGTTCCTCAAACAAGTTAACAGTGCCACTGATCTATTATGTAACAGAAAAACTTTTATAAAAATCACTACAACACAATAGGATGCACCCACTGATATTATATTTATCAACAACTTCAATTGTTGTATTCTAACAAAATACTTGGAAATTTGTTTATAATTTCTAGTTAAAGACAAATAAATTTTTAGTTATGCAAATTAAAAATGAAAAACAATAAATCATATCTTCAGTTTAAATGCAATGACATATATATTATGTTACTGTACTGATATGCAACTAGATGCTATTATACTATATGTCATTAGAAGATAGCATGCAAAACTTAAGCAAAAGTAGATACATATTCTGTATTATGAAAGTAAGATTATTTTTCAATAATAAAATAAATCAATTAATTAAATTGNTAATATATCAATTACTTATAAATAGCTCATATTTTATTTATTTATTCATAAAATGTGAAATTGTTACCATATTTTCATGTATACAACCCATAATGACAAATACCAACAAAAGATGCTAGAAAAAAAAAAAAACTTTCACATAATTCATTCTTAAGAAAGTAACCATTTCCAATAATCGTTTCAAGTTAATAATCATCTATTTATATTAATAATTGCCAATTTTCCTTCAGGACCTGTATTAGAGTTTCAGTACAAATAATTTCAAATAGATATACTCAGATGCATGACATAAATGTTTTGCTTAGTTCTCAGTTTTAAACAGCAATATTTTCAAATTTAAGAATTATCAATTTGATTTTTAATGTTTCAAAGATTAATAAACTAATTATGAGGAATTTATGTATTTACATCACAGAAATTCTCTTAATTAATGTGATTTAGACCAGATTTTGGTCAGTTAACAGAAAATGTCATTTAAGAATCATAAAGTACAAATATACTTATAAAATTTATTAATTAATATTGTATTTATACAGATATTTAATTGCTTTTATCATAAAAAATAAGAACTAAAACTTACTCTTTACCTCCTAATGAACCTATCCTTATTCTAATTTTAGTTGTAATTTATACTTTTAACTACTTGTATGATGGATGAAAATTTTGTGGTCAATCTTCATATACACTACACTCTTTGTTCATAAAATAATGAAACTCTTAAGGCAAAAATTCATCAGGCAATAAATAACATAATTTAGAATATGACGTGCCACTCTATGCATGACTTACTTCAAAAATGTGAAAAGTGTCTGCATATGAATGTAGGGCACTTGATTGATGTCATTTTCATAACATAAATGGCAAACTATGTTTGAATTCTTGTAGATGAAAATTTTGTTAATAAATATTTAATATCTATATATATATAAAATCCTAATCCTATAATCATAAATATATATCTCTTAAAAGTTCTATTCTCAATACTCTTTGATATTTATATAAATTTATATTTATAGAAGTAAAATTTCATTAACATACTTTCATGTATAAATTGATTTAAGAATTTCTGGTTTCAAAATACTTTGCTTATAAAGTAGAATTTAAACAGTCTAGTTAGAATGGAGAAAATTATCTCCTAATTAACATAACTGTAATCATATTGTGGCTACAAGCCATATTGTATTATATACATTAATATAGATTTAGTATAGTAGCCCTTTGTTCTCTTTCCTTCTAGAATTTTCCTCCCTAACTCCTTTCCTTTGGGTGAGATTACCAGTTCCAAGAACTAATGTAAACAAAGGAGAGAGTAAGATGCTGAGGCACAAGAGACAAGAGACACATAATTCTTTTAGGAAACCTGGAAGTAGACAGATGTAAATTTGAGTACTCTGAGTCAATGTTCACAATGACTGGAGATCATCGATTAGTCTGAGGAAAGAATCCTGTCCTATCATAGTGACGACACGGCAGTACATAATTAAGGATTGCAAAGAAATAGTAGTAGGAGACTGTGATATAGGAAAACTGAACTTATCAACCCTTGTGAAAGGTCTCATGTGATATCTCACCCATTGAATATATAGAACCAATCCCAGGTATTCTTATCTTTGCTAAAACTTACTCTTTACCTCCTAATGAACCTATCCTTATTCTAATTTTAGTTGTAATTTATACTTTATAAGATTAGTTTTAAGACTTGTACCCAAGTGCATTGTTGCAAGTAATATATGTTGGTTTGGCATTGTAAAAATAGTGATCATGCTGTAACATCTGGTGCATTTCTGTATGGTAACACAACATAGAAATCTTTATTAAGAACCTGTATATTTACCCAAAATAAACTATGTGTTAAATTACATGATCTTCTTTGTCTAGTAACGTGGTTTCTTTATTTGATCACATATCCCGCATACAAACTATTACTATATTTTCATTACTACAAAACAGTTGTTACAAATTCTTTTTTATTACAAAGGTCATTCTAAAAGTAAAGAATGTTTGTTTCTCTAGATATTTTTATTTAAGATAATGAAATAAAACTTATTTTTCAACACATGATACCTTAGGTATTTTTCTACGTAGTCGCCATACAAATTTAAACATTTGTCATAGCGTATCACCAGCTTTTCTATGCTTTCTGCACACTCAGTTACCACCAAGTTCTTGAACCAGACATTAAAAGCCTCTTTCAGTTTGTTGTCACTTCCATAGTAATTCCCGGCCAAAAAATCCTTCAATTTTGGGAAAGGATGGTAATCACTTGGAACAAAGTCCAGGCTATAAGGAGGATGTTCAAAAACTTTCCACTTAAACTGCTGAAGTAAGTTCTTCATCAACACAGCAGCATGTGGACATGCATTATCCTGAAGAAGCACAATGCCTCTGGACAATAATCCCCACCGTTTGTTTTGAATGGCACAGTGTAGTCGGTGAAGGGTCTGGCAATAGGCCGCTGCATTTATGATCTCCCCTCAAGGCATGTAGTCAATGAGTAGGACACTCTTTTGGTCCCAAAACACTGTAGCCATAACCTTTTTGGTGCTCAGAATTTGTTTGACATTTTTTGGTCTTGTTGGGGATCCAGAATGATGCCATTCCATTGATTGGAGCTTTGTTTCTGGAGTTTTATGCAAAATCCAGGTCTCATCACCAGTAACAACATGGTTCAAAATCTCCTCGCCATCCTTGTTGTACTGGCTGAGAAAAGTCAGTGCAGCTCCTATCCGATTTTGTTTGTGTTCATCTGTCAAAAGTTGAGGAACCCACCTGGCACACACTTTTCTGTAGTCCAAATCACCACTAACAATGCCATAAAGAATTGTTCTTGAAATTTCAGGAAAGAACAAACTGAGTCCATCTATAGTGAAAAGTCTATCCTGTTGAATTTTTTCCTCAATCCTTGATCTGCGTTCGTCAGTCACA